GATTAAATATGTGAAAAAATATTCAATATTATTGATCACCAGGGAAATTAAGACCAATAACAATGAGATAACACCTCACACTTGTGAAAGTAACTATTTACAAAAAGATAACAAGTGTTTGTGAAGATGAGGACAAAAAGAAACTGTTGAATAGTTTTGCAGAAGATAAAGATTGGTGTGGGCATTATTAAAAATACTATGAGCATTCCTCAAATGAAAAATAGAACTACCACATGATCCCATTTCTGGGTATACATCTAAGGAAAGAAAATCAGTAAGTTAGACTGATATCTTCCCTCTCAAGATCACTGCAGCATTATTTGCAATAGCCAATATATGGAACAAACCATATGAGAGTCCATTAACAAAAATGAATAAAGAAAATGTGCTGCTATACACAGTCAGCACTCCACATCCTTCACATCTTCAGTTCCTCAGTCACAGAGTCAACCAAGTCTGGATGAAAAATATTTGATAAAAAATAAAATAATAAAAAGTAACGCAAATAAAAAAGCAATATAATATTCTGCTTACATAGCATTTACATCCTATTAGGTACTATAAGCAATCTGGAGATGATTTAAAGTATGTAGGAGGATGTGAACAGGAGATATGAAAATGCTAGGTGATTTCACATAAGGGATTGAACATCGATCTGGGTATTTTGATATCCACAGAGGTCCTGAGAGATGACTGTACACACAATAGAATACTAGTCAGCCTTTTAAAAAAAGGAAATCCTTACATTTGCCACAACATGGATAAACCTTGAAGAGATTATGCAAAGTGAAATAAACCAGGCACAGAAAGACAAACCCAGCATGATCTCATTTTTATGTGACGTCTAAGAAAGTCAAACTCATAGAAACAGAAAGCACAATGGTGGTTAACAGGGGCTAGGAGAGGGAGGATAGGAGGATGGTGGCCAAAGGGTACAGTCTCAGTTAGGATAAGTCAGTTCTGGGGATTTAATGCACAGCATGGTGACCACAGTGAATAATACTGTATCACATACTTGAAATTGCTAAGACAGGAGTCTTAAATGTTGTGACTATGAAAAAGAAAAATAGAGCTATACAAGGCAATGGATATGTTATTATCTTGATTTTTATGATTATTTCACAATGTATACATATATCAAAACATATTGCACACTGTGAATATATACAATTTTTATTTATCAATCATACTTAATAAACCTGGGAGGGAAAAAGCCAGTCAGGTCTGTCATCATATCTCTCTTTAATATGAAAAGTAGATAGAATACACCAAAGCAATTATATCCCCAAAAGGAAACTTAGCAAATAAAAAAGAAAAACAAAAATGAGCTACTAGAACTTTTGGTGTCAAACAAACAAGACAGCAAAAGGAAAGGAAGGCAGGAAGGAGGGTGGGAGAGAAGGAGAGAACTTTGGCTCCTTGTCAACAAGAGGAAGATAGGCTAAATACCTTCAAAGGGCGTGAAGGGTGAAAATTAAGGCCATCATTCCTATATTCCCCTTGCAGTGCTCCTGATTCATCTCTCTCTCTCTCTTTTCCCCCTCCTTCCGAGAGACGGACATTGTCCAAGCTGGAGTACAGTGGTGCAATTATATATAGTTCTAACTCCTGGGCTCAGGTAATCCTCTTGGCTCAGTCTCCAAAGTAGCGAGGGCTACAGGCACATGCCACCATGACTGTTATTCTTTTTTAAATTTTTTGTAGACACAGGGTCTTACTATGTAGCCCATGCTAGAGTTTAACTCCTAGCCTCAAGCAATCCTCCCACCTTGGACTCTCAGAGCACTAGGATCACAGGCATGAGCCACATGCCCAGCTAATGTTCCTGATCTTAAAGAGAGGCACCAACGACCAAGAAAATGGCAGACCATTAACCAACTCCTGCAAGCTAGACATCTAGGAGTACGGCTTGTCTCATTCCTCTTCCCCCAAGTTTCCAGCGCATTGTGAACAATTATTATTTCTTGAATGATAAATGAGTCTCTCAGTAAAGTTCCTGATACGCAGTTAAAGCAAAAAAGAGCATATTTATATGCATCAGAATGATTTTTATTAGCATCTAAATGATGAAATTAAATTATTTCAACTTTCAGAATGAATGAATTTACTGATTCTAATTAAACTCTCCAGGGCCAGGCATGATGGTTCACACCTATAATCCTAGTGCTCTAGGAGGCTGAGGCAGGTGGTTTGCTTGTGCTCACAAGTTTGAGACTAGCTTGAGCAAAAACGAGACCCTGTCTCTATTAAGAATAGAAAAACTGCGGCAAGAGAATTGCTTTATCCCAAGAGTTGGAAGTTGCTGTGAGCTATGATGCCACAGCACTCTGCCCAGGGCAACAGCTTGAGACTCTGTCTCAAAAAATATACATACATAAATAAATAAACTCTCTGGATTTTTTGGGGTCCCATAGGCATGGCTACAATTACAGGTGTGAGAGTATTCCTTGAATTATTATAGAAAGTCAGAATTTATTGCTAAACTTGGCTTTAACAGTTTCCTAGTAGAGTTCTTCATCATTTGAGAAATAGTTTTAGGACATCTGCTAAAGGTTGTCCAGCTGGGTGGTGACAGAGCACAGATAGAGACTAGTCATTTTCACTCCTAGTCCAATGTTTTGTTTGTTTGTTTTGTTTTTTGTTTTTCATTTACCATTATGCTGCAATGTTTAGGCTTTATGGCTTCATTTTTGTGTTAGAAATTTGTAAGAACCTGTAGTACCCATAAGAGAAATATGTGTAAATGGTTAATCTTGTCTCGTTTAGTCTGCTGCTTTAAAATATTAAAATAAGCAGCAGTTATTTTTTAGAAGGGTGAAAAATAAGCTCAATGTTGTAAAAAACAAGCACTTTCATACTCCATTTGCAATTTCTATTATGTGCCCTAATAGGGAAATGGTGCATGTTTCCCTGGTTTCTTGATATTCTGAAGCAATGAAATTCTTCAGTTAAATCAGGTTGTTTATAAGGAAACTTACAAGGATATAGGAAAGCTGGTTTTAAGGAAGTTTTGGGGATAGTGATGTAGTGAATGAAAAAGCATTATGAGTAGCCAGTCTATTTCAACTATGTGACCTTGGACTACTCACTTCCTCTATGGATTTCAGTTCCTTCATCTGTTACTATGAGAGAAATGGACTCAATCATGGGCTGTGAATGTGGGTCTGCTAATGAATTTCCCATTAAGTCCTCTGGAGTATGTATCTGAGTGTGGACTTTTCTGAGAAGAGAATTCATAGGATCTGTTAGATCATCAAAAGGGTCTGGGACAGAGAAAGGTTAATTATCTCTTAATATATGAGGTCCCTTCCAACTTTTGAAATGTAACAGAGCTGTAAATACTTATAATTTCAGATGGAAAATACGAATTAGCATAATTATTAGCATAAATAAGATTTAAATATTCTGTGCAAATGAGAACTACCATGATCAACCATATATTCGTATGTTAGCTAAAGAACTTCACTAGAAATCCAGTTCATATTTTCCATAATTTGCATCAGTAAAACCAAACAATAACTACAGGTGGTAAGTCTATGTGGTAAATTCAAATATATTACAAGTTTTTCTTTCATCCTGCCTTTCTTGTTATCAATGTTTTAATGGGCTGTCATGGCAGGCCTGCTCCCTAGAATTGATTATGTGAAGTGAAGACAAAACAGGTCACCCTGCCAACAAATAAAACTTCCTTTTTCAAGATATCCATCCAAAGCCATTTTAATTACAACTTTTGGATGGCTGAATAGCCATCCTTCTTATACTGAACATATAACTATAAAAGACTCAGAAATAAAAGTTACTCTGCTTATTCACTTTTGTCCTGCCTTTCTTCCCTTAACTTCATAATTCTCTATTAATTGTCAAGTATGTGTTGAGAACTCTCCTAGCCACTTTTGAAATTGTCAGTGAGGAAAATAAATAGATTCTCCTCTCATGATGTTTACATTCTACAAGGCAGAACTTAAACAACACACATAAAAATAAGTAAATTATTATTTTCAAATGCAATAAACACTTTGGGGAAAAAAAGAGTAGGAGATTAGAATACGAGAGGTGAGGAGGGTGGTTCCAACTTTACATAAATCACAGAAGGCCTCACCTGTGTCCTCTTTGTTAATTTGTCATTTAACAAAGTTAGGCGATAAGGTAGTGAGCCAAGTCCAGTATAAGGTTTGGGGAAAGAGCTTTCCAGGCAAAGGGAGGGGATAGGGCTAGAGTAAACTTGATTTGTTTAAGGAGTAACAAGAAGGCCATTATGACAAGGAATAAGCAAAGATTATTTTGCTGTTGTGGTCATGAGATTTGTAAAATTTCACCTTACAGTTGATACCTCACACTTTATTATTCCCATGTTTAAAATGAAAGTTATGACTTTTGCATAATCGTACTCAAGTCCCATACTTATCAAAAAAACATGGGCAAAGAATTCAGGCAACAGTCTTCTGACAACTTTTCAATCACTCCCAAACTATGATCTCTGGTTGATGTATATTTTAAGTCTCTTGGTTCCCACAAATATATATTTGCTAATGAACTGTTGAGTGATATGCAGATACGCCATTTAACGAGAAATGATTTCATTGTTTAAAAAAAAAAAAAAGTCAAAGCTCTTCATTTAGAGATTAGGCACAAAGACATTCATTATTCCAGACAAGAAATTCCACATCTATATAGTTCTCATGAAAACACGCATTCTTTCTGAAATGTCACTGCTCCTCTTGGCATTTCACTACATTTTTCATATCATTAACTTTCTTCAAGAAATTGAAACAATTGTGATTACTGTACCAGTTGCCTGGCCATTTATCTGGGTTATTACCTCAAAAACAAACAAACAACAACAACAAAAAAAAAACTCATAGAAAGGCAGCACTTTTTACAAGGGGAAGATCAGGTAATCCTCTCTCACAGTAAGCATCTTTTCTGCTCAACACCTCATGTGAAAATGAACCATGATTTCACAAGTTTATAAATATGATGTGAAACATAAGCAACTATACCTTGCCAAACTGGTCCTTTTTGCCAAAGCCGGTGGCAGCTGCAATGCTCCCTGCTCCCTCCACTGTCTTCTGGGCTACTGCTGTCACACCTGTCACCACCGCCCCTCCAACATTTGTCACTTGCTCTTTGGTCTTCTCAGCCACTGGTAAATCAAAACAACAACAATCAAGAACAATCAAGAATGGTGGAACGACAGTAACTAGAATAATTCCACTCTCACCAGCCGTCAACTTCTACACACCTGCATTTTTACACATTCTATAGACACCTCCCAAGTCAGAAGAAGCAAAAACCACTGAGATGTCTAAGCAAACACTTGCTAAGATATTTTCTTGTAATCACTCAGGTATTAAAAAGTAATTCAAGTTAAATTACCAGGAATATAAAGCCATGAAAAATTTGAGTTTGATTTATATAAAGGAATGTTTACTGGAAGCTATGTTTACAGGGGTGATTATAGTTGAGTCAGACTCTGCACGCAATTATGTCTTTATTTCAATCCAATGCTATTTCTTTGACCTCACTTAACAAGTGCATTTTCAAAACACTTTCTGAATAACAGAACATGTACTGTGTACCCATGTGCACATATATGGTATGTATAGTGACACATGTGAATGAACAACAGCATAAAAAATAATTATGAAAGAACTGTGATCCTTTATGGAACTTTGAGTAGTGAGAACAGAAGGGTTTTTAATACTAAGGTAGATTTTAATTAATTTTAATGGGAACAAAGACTCTAGACCAGGGACGGGGAACCTTTTCATGTTGGAAGGCCACAGTAATTAAGCTGAAATCAAATAAGGCCACATTCAAGAAACTTCAATTGCATATACTTTATAATGTACATTATTTTGTAAAAATCTAACTGCTATATACTTGATAATTTCAAAACATGAAAATTATTTTTTCTATTTTAAAATTAACTAACCTGTTAATGACTTTGTTATGTCTACTTTTTGTTGGAAAGCATTTGAATATTTCGCTGCAGCAGGAAGGTCTCCAGTTCCATCTAATCCTCTAGAGGGGTATCAGTCATTTGTGACCTTAAGGGTATTTCAGTTTGGGTTAGGTAGGAGAATGCAGATTCACAAAAATAAATGAAGAAAGCATTTTGGGGGCATGTTGGTGAAGGGATGGGTATTGTACTGCGTTTTCCCCTTTTCAGTTGGACACTCAAATGTCACCTACTGAGAGTTCAATCAAGTCCATCTATTGTTCTTTAGATACCTTCGTAATATCAACAGGTGAGGCTGAAACACCAATTTGAGTGTGCTGTCATGATTCTCAAAGTCAGTGATTCTTTCATTGTATTCTTCAGTTAATGGGTCTATACTTCCAAATTATTGGCGTGTATCTTCCTGTTCATCAACGACCTTTGCTAACTGGGGAAAATGTTCATATGAAATTGCCCTTTGAAGAACTGTTTTGAAAAAAGACAGCATTTTTTGAAATGTTTAGATTTTTTGTCATATATCAAAGACGCATGTAACTTTACTATGCAAAGAAATAAATATTTAAGACATTTTGATTTGAAGTGGTATCACACAAAATCACACATGGTATCTTCTTTCAATAATTCACAATGTTGAGTCTGTTCAGCACAAAATTTCGCTATCTGTTCTCACAAAGGTAGAATGTTGACTAACACCTGTCCCTGTGACGACAAACATACTTTAGAATGACTTGGCAAATCTACACTGAAAATCTCATGGTTTAATTTTAGCTTTTTATGAAACTGACGATGCCATGTTGCATTTGCACAAATATAGCTAACAATATTTATAACTTATTGGAAAGTTATAGCTTTAGCAGAGATTTGCTGATGCAAGATACAATGAAAGAATAAACCCTTCACGTTTTCCTCTTGCAGAAGGGGCACTGTCGGTACTTACACTTACTAAATTTACCAAATTCAGTCCAACGTCACAACATTTATCCTGAAAGGTGAAGATATCTATTCTCTATGTTCTGTTCTCAAGAGTGCCAGAAGCAAGTAACTCTTTATAGTGAAGAAAATCTTCTGTTACGAGCCAAATGACATAAAAAACCTACATTGAGGCAGTAATTTCAGTCTATTTATCCAAAGCAATTGAATAATGTATATTTCCCTTTTGAAGTATTAAACGAAGTTCTATTAAGTTGAAAGCTAATTCATAGAGCTGATCAGTTATAGTTCTTGAAAGGGGAAGTTGATTATACTTTGAAAGGTTATTGAGATCTGTGCATCCTACAATTTCAATAATGCATTCTTTCACAATTCCTACATGGCTGAATGGCTTCCCTTTTTCCCAAGTAAGTAAGCTACTTTGTAAATTTCTCGAGTGACATTATTTCCAGGTCTTACTGCTGTTTGAAAGACTGTTTTTGCTTTTGCTTTTTCATTTTTTAATTGTTACAATGCAATCTTTCTTGCCTCTCCCTCTGATTTAAAGTATTTGTGGTCCTTATGAGCATTATAGTGTTGATGAGCACTGAATTCCTTTAATATTTATACTGCAGTGTCACAAAGCAAGCAAGTCATCTTATCTTTAGCTGAAACAAGACAATATTGCCATTCCAACCTTCATTAAAAAATCTGCTTTCTCCCTTTAACATTCTCTTGGTCTTCTTTGACATGATGGGCTTTTAAGTAGACAGAATTTTAAAATGCTGTTGAGCTGTGCAACTATTCACAAATTCCACTCAAACAGAAACACAATGCACCCTTGTCAAAAGTTGATAACAGACTGGTGAACTCAACTCCCATAAACTCTCACCAACCAGCCACCTATGTAGTGGCACAAATCAGGTGAGGGAAGTTAGAACAAAATCATGAGTCTAGCAGCTATCAATTTAGCCCTTACGGTTTACTAATATTCTAATTGTGTCGGCCAGTCTGGAGGATTATTTTGATGAAACTCTTGATAAAACACAAGTGGCTTAAAGTCACAGGTTCCCCATCCCTGAGCTAGACTTAAGTACTGTGTGAAAATGAAGAAGCATGCTAGATACTCTTACAATTTATTTTCATAAAACAAAATATGACATGGTGATTCAGCAGATTTTTAAAAAATAAGTTAAAAATTGTTGAAGGTAGTATAAATAGTTTGGATTGGCTTTATAAGCAATCCAAATTTGATATTTCATATCAAAAATTCTCATGTTATGTGAAATAAGCCACACACACAAGATAAATGCCACATGATCTCACAGGTATGTGAAATCTAAAGAAATTTAAAAAAAAAAGTTGATACCATAAAATCAGAAAGCAGAGAGCAGAGCAGTGGTTAATAGAGACTGGGGAGGGGATGAGAATAGGGACAGACTAGTCAATGGGTACAAAGTTACACTTAGACAGGTGGAATAGGGTCTAGCATTCTACTGCCGAGTAGGGTCATGTGATGGCTGGAAAAGGCTTCTGAATGCCCTCACTACAAAGAAACAATGAACTTTATCATTTACAACATCCATATTAATCAAAACATCACATTGTACCCCATAAATATGTATAATTACAATGTCAATTTAAAAAATAAATAAACATAACTTTTCTAAGACATCCTAGAACTATTAATTAATTGCTAAGCTAATCTTTCTATATTATTTCCATATAATCTCATAGATCCAATGAGAAAAATTTGTTTCAGTTAACCAAAGAATTTCATGAAAAAGCCAAGGAGATAAGAGATTCTGTTCTCTTAATAATTCCAAGACCAGCACAGAAATAAAACAAACCCTCCTTTGTCGAAACCTCTATTATATCTATGCCCACAAAGCCTTCTGCCTTCCACGTCTTATCTGTATCTGTGTAATGTTCACCTTCTTTTCATCCTCCCCTACAAACTCATGCTTTGCTTTCCTCCCCAGCTTCAGAAATTTGGGGTCTGAGTGACATTATTCCTCCGGGGCTCACCTAAGCAAAGACAAATTTACTTGTTATGCCTTGTACTCTGTAGGGAAGCTTCAGTCTGAGGAACCTGAGTTACACCATGTCAGCTATCAAGTGCCATTCACGTGATTATTGTACAGCTTTCATGTTAGCAGTTGGAGAAGGCAATACTTATGCAGCGTGGACAAAGCAATTTGTTTTCTAACAGACTATATGGGTCATGGATGCGAAAATGGTCTGTAAGGACAAGGGGCCTACTTTTCAGCAGGCAGACAGCGAGGGAAGCCTGATGAAACCATCCAGCCTAAAACCAGAACAAGTTCACCCCAGGTGTTGCTCTGTCTCTCTGCCTTTTAGGCTAGAATTTCATAGGTTTACCGACCAATTGCTTGCCACTTCTAGAGGTGTGGCTGATCCCTCCTGAAGAGTAAGGGCTAGTCACAATTCAAAGTTCAATTCAATTGCCGGTGAAAATCTGCACCGGAAATTTTATGTTTTAAAACATTTCTGAAATGTTGACTCTCTAATAACCGTGAATTCTGTGATTGAAGTTGTCACTTTTTTTTTCTTTTCTAAGGACATGAATAGAAGATTTTGGTTCATGTGAACTTTTGTTTTGTTATAAAATCTCCAAAACAAGTCTGAAACCAGTTTTTATTTTTCACAGATGCAGCCATGAGTTTTACAATCCTTTGTATATGAATCAACTTTAATCGATGTTGTTGATGCACATAGACGACACAGTAGAATGTACTTTTTCCATTATCATAATTTCATTAGCCCAGCAATAAATAAATCAGTTACATTATAAAATGACAAAGTATGCAGACAATAATAGTAGACACACTTTAAAAGATTTTGGTAGGACTGACTTCTCTAGTAGGTCCTCTCTTGACCTTGAACTTGTTATTTTTCCCCTTTTAAGGTCTTTTAGACTGATTCTCTGCCCACTGATATGTCAAACAAAGGTTGACAAAATCAAAGGAAAAGAGACACATTTGAATTAGTATATCTGGGGTCTAATAAATGCTATTTATTTTTAAGGGAAAACATCTTTTAACCAGGATTTTAAAAGCTTACTTTCCTCTCAGCCAACTGACACTATAATGTTTTGAACTCACTCTTATTTTCCCCAGCATGCCAATCTTCCCCATCTTGGGGTATACACTTCCACCTGACCAGTAGCAAACTCAATTCCTTTGTCAACACCCAGCTCAAACATCCCATTCTATGTTAAAAAATTCTCCTTCCACATGTGCTTTTGTTCTGTCTCCTATAATTTCATAAAATTTTAGACATATCTCTACTTTTGAACTGTTCCTATTGCACCATAATTATTTATTTACCAGTATGTCTTTTTACCTCCATCACCCTATTTTGAGTTCTTTAAAATCAGAGATTCTGTTTTATTTTGTTATTACATCATAGTAGACACTATATAATTTGAAATGCACTAAAATGAATTTTGTGTCTATTTTGAATATATTATTAACTTCAATAATTAGATTTACATGGATTTTTAGCTAGGTTAAAACTAAAATTCCAAACAGGAAATGTGACATCAACTTTTAGAACAGATATAGTAAACCTAACTTTTGATATAAACAAAATTATAAAATTAGGAAATTCTAGATTTGAGTTGTTATACAAATAATAGGTTTGAGGAAAATGAATTTAAAGCAATTTACAGAAATTCAAATTGACAGTTCAAAATTAATTTTGCTCATAATGATCAAAACTTACTGAAAATCTCCAGTGTTGGGAATTTATTTACACTATACTTATATGAAAAATAAATGAGTAAGCTTATGATTTATTTTAAAAGCACCTTCAAAATATGTCCTTCAGTAAATTCAATTAAATATACTCTCACATATTCCCATAACATGATGCATTAAGTTGATAATTGAAATAATTTCCTGAGACCAAAAGCCAGGAAAGCCAGGACTTAAAGTGTAATTTTCTAGATTTTAACTTGAGATTACCTAACTAAAAGAATTAGTTTTCCTTGAACTTTGTAGATAGAAAACTGGCCTAAATTTACTGAAATTTTCTGCAAAAACAGCTAATGGGATGAATCTCAGAGATATTGTTCTTTTAACATTAGCAAATAATGTTAGGTATTATATGATAGTTTCTTGCTTTCTTGCATTAAGACTAATAACAATAATAAAGAACATTTATTTAGCACTTAATCTATACTCATAATAAAAATTTTAGACCAAGCATAATAAACAACCAATTCTCCCTCTCTTTAACCATTAAGCAAAATTATCTTATTTTTCCACCTCATTGTAATTAGATTTTTTTATATTAAATAACTCAACTGGAGAAGTTAATTCATTTATCTAATATGGGATAGGAATTATTCTTATTGCAGCTGATTTCTCCCAGTTCATTTCTTATAGACCAGCCGTTCTCAACCTGTGGGTCATGACCCATAGGAACTGTATTAAAGGGCCACGGCATTAGGAAGGTTGAGAACCACATTATAGATGGACTAGTTATAACTGCATTTTAGGTTTTCTAGATATAGTATTCATCATTCATCCTGTCACCCAGGCTGGAGTGTGTTGGTCTCATCATAACTCACTGCAGCCTCAAAGGCCTGCATGCAAGCAATCCTCCTGCCTCGGCCTCCCAAGGGGACTATAGTAGTGGACCACCATGTCCAGCTATTTTTTTTTTTATTATCATTATATTGTAGAGATGGGGTCTCACTATGTTGCCCAGGCTGGTTTCAAACCACCAAGTAATCCTTCTTTTTTGGCCTCTCAAAGTGCTGCAAAAACAGATGTAAGCCACTGGGTCCAGACAAGCGTTTTTGATAATCTAATCTCCCTACTGCCAGAGTGATTAACTGTTGCAATGGACATAAATATCACCTGTGCCAAAATCATCATGTCCTTGCTGCCCAGCAGCATTTCCCATAATTTTCTGTGAAACATTAGTTTTATTTGACCCTAGTAACTATTAAAGAAAGGTTTCAATAGTCAAATAGGTTTTTAAAAAACCTTGAGTTAAACTATATTATGCGAATCTGTTTACTGTAGGGCATCTCGATTCTTTAACATGATAAAGGGAAAACAGGGTGTGCAAAATTTCCCAGCTTTATAAGATTATAAGACCATGGAAACATAAGCTTGTGGGCTACTGCCCTTCAGAAGATGTTTTATAAAATGTTGCCTAATTATACAAACTTCAGGCTCTCTCTCTATTTTTGTCTCTCTCTCTCTCTCTCTCTCTCTCTCACACACACACACACACACACATACACACACACACACGCATACCCAATTTTATGTTCATGTTCTGGCATTCTGAAGAAGATTAAAATATTCTGAGCTTGTCAACAGTTACCTTTGCAGCCCATCTGCCCTGCCTCCATTAGATCTTTAGGTGACTATTAGCTGAGTTCTTCACTTTCTACCAAATGCCCTGGAACTTGCCACATCCTTATCTGCTTTCTAAACCACAGGGCTCTCTCTCAACTATCAAAATGAAACACTGTTGATCCAAGTTGGCTGTCTTCAGATAGCACAGTCTCTGTTGGCTTTTCTTGTTTAATTTATGCTTGACGATATCATGTGTATAAAAGTTAACCCAAAGGCAAGCTGGTCTATGGACTTGCCTGAGCTCTCTATATTATATATTGGGTTGCAGCAGAGGTGATGAAAGCTGCAACATTAGCTTCCAACAAAATCAGTTCCAAAAGGATTCTTTTTTATTTCTATTCCCTTGTTTTTTATCAAAAGTATATATATTTGAAATATATGAAATAATATGAAATATTTTTCTTCACTAGCTATAAAAATGTTGCTCAAGAAAGTCCACTATAAAGCCATAAGTAGTGCTTATATAAAATACACGATTTTTTTCCAGTTTTCTAGTGGTTTGTATACATTTTTAATTCACTTAATTTTTTTAGAGATAAGCAATACTAAATCATACAGAGGATAAGAATCTTGAAGTAAGCAGGAGTTGAACAAAGGAGATCTCTGGGTCCAATGTTTAGGGTCTGAACTACAACACCCCATGAAGATTCTCATTCTTTCTTCATGTCTGTTTTATAATTCAGTGATACGAGCATCTTGCTGTTATGAGGCAGTACTATGTTTTACGCTTTCTTATCATTTAAATTTTGTTTTAGCACACCTGTCAGGAAGTGTGAAACAGTGACAACATGAAACTCAATAATAGCAAGTCTCTGGGCTCTTAATTGGTTAAATTGTGGTATTCTTATAATGTTTTATTTCTGTAATTATCTTTCTCATTTTCCTCGTAATCTGATGATAACAATCATCATTTACATCATCTTTGCTATTTCTTTGTTATAAATCTGCTTATAGACTTAATCAAATTCTTGATATATTATGCAAATATAATATGTGTACAAGTGTAAACACAAGAAATAAGGGTATGTCCTAAAATGTATTCCGAATCATCAGGCACATATTATAATTGGTATAGTTGAGGGCCAGAATATTTTATGGTGCTTTAAGGGAGATTTTACTTTGATCTTTTGAAAATGGTAATCTTGACATTTTATTTATGCTAGCAGTTTACCAATATGTTGTTGGTCAGAATACTCAAATTCACCACCACTTTAAATGTAGCCGCTCAATTCCAATTCATTCTTCTTGGCAATTAAATGTGTTTTATTTGTTGATAATAAATATTTACCTATTTGAAATACTTCATAAAGAATTAAGTTTTAAAACGTTTGATGCTGTCCTAGAATCGCCCTCTGGGGACACTGTGATTGTTTACAGTTATACTCAATGACAGGCTCCCAGGTGTTCTGAATACCACCCTGGATGCAAGCCTCCTGGAGCTTACCTGTTGTCACACCGTGCACCACACCCTCCTTGGTTTTGGAGCCTATAAAAATAAACAAATGCAAATCACAAATCTCAAAATTGTCTTATATTGCTTGTTAGTTTAAATACTACTAATGAATAATTCTCAATCTCTACATATCTGTGTATAATGATATCCTTGTCGGGGGAACACATTTTTAAAAAAGCAACTAAAAAGAGGAGAAAGCTAGTCACCCCTACAACAAATAGAATAAAGCAAAAATAACAGGAGCTTCTCTCTAATGAAAGGTGTGGCACAAAATGACGACGTCCCCCTGCTTCTCACTTCACATAACAACCTACAGAGGAAAAAAGTGAGATAACAGTGGGATTGGTGAGAAGATGATTTAGGGTGCAGAACTGTGGAAGCTTTAAAAGGACAGAGAGCTCAGAGATTAGTTACCCCAGGAAACACACATAGAAGGGGAGGGAAAGAAGGCATTAGCATCTGTTGGACACCCGTTATGTAAAAGGTGTTTTACATCTCACTGCATTTAATCTTCATGGTATCTATTTAATATAGGAATATTATGCCCATGTTACATGTGAGGAAATTAAAATCATAGTTAAGTGACCTGCCTAACATCACACATGAAATAACAGGGTATAGGTATGTTCAAAAAGTTGCTACGTAAAACAAGAATTTCTCCCAAACATGCTCATTACTAAACTTGTACACAATAATTGTTAAGTATATTATATTAAAATTGAGCTTGTTAGCAATTTTATTCATAACCTCTATAACAGTGGCTCTGTCAGTGTAATTCACACCAGTTTTTTAATTAAAATATTTTTGAAGAAAATCACCACAATTGATTAAATATTGACTTGAAAACTATATTTTAACTCAAGTAATATAGTTCTACCCAAACATAGAAGAGTATTAAGAAAATGAAGTCATAAAAACTGGAATTATTTAAAACTAAACGTGGATATTAAGATAGGGACCAATCTTCAGCTTAGAAATAACATTATTAAAAAAAAATCCTTACGGAGTATATAAGAAATAACTGAATACTTTCAAAAAAAAAAAAAAAAAACGTAAAGGGGCCTCAATTTCCTTTTACTAAAATTAATACATAAGATTAATTAATTACTTTCATAGAAACTGGTTCTTAAAACCATAAATCCTGACTAAGTATATAAGAAATAACTGAATACTTAAAATCCTTACTAAGTATATAAAAAATAACTGAATATTTTCAAAAAAAAAGTGTAAAGGGGCCTCAATTTCCTTTTACTAAAATTAATACATACAATTAATTAATTACTTTCATAGAAACTGGTTCTTAATACCATAGAGTATGGTATAATGACTTGGATAGCAGTGATCGTTAAAAATGCTAACCTTTGGCTCGGCACCCCTGGCACAGAGGTTATAGCACCGGCCTCATACACCAAGGCTGGCAGTTTCAAACCTGGCTTGGGCCAGCTAAACAACAATGACAACCGCAACAAAAAATAGCCGGGTATTGTAGCAGGCACCTATAGTTCCAGCTACTTGGGAGGCTGAGGCAAGAGAATCGCTTGAGCCCAAGAGTTTGAGGTTACTATGAGCTGTGATGTCACAGCACTCTACTGAGGGCGGCATAGTGAGACTCTGTCTCAAAATTTAAAAAAAGTGCTAACCTTTGAGTTAGAACCCCAAATATTCACTAAATACAGAATACCAATTCTGACATTTTTAATAATCCTCATAATCTAATGCACATAATTCATGGATCAAGTTTTGAGAAACACTGATCTGATATAGTCTCTAGTTGCAAATATATTTAAAATTCAGAAATACACTTTTATGATCTAAATAATGATAATTAATAAAATGATCTAAATGAACAGACAGAATCACATGAAAGATATTTATTTTCATGAACATACATGAATATGTCACTAAGTGAATTTGTATGAATCATATTTAAACTCATATTTTATGAAGCAGTCAAAGAAAGTTTCTAAATTTAATAAAACAAACATATTGAATAAACTTCAAACTGAATATACTTAAGGGACTCCAATAAAAATTAAAAAAAAAACAATAGCTTTAAAGTTAGCAGGGTTTGGATTCAGAGTGTCTGCGTTTAAATATTCACTTCCTGCTCAAATAATCCCATATGTATCATTAGGTTAACAGGAAAATCAAAGGAAATAATTCATACAAATTTCTTAAAATAGCATATGATGGTAAGTGATAACTATTATTCTTCACATGTAATATTTGTAAATGAATTGATAGTTTAAAGCACAGGACAAATCATCAAATCAGAAATGTCATGTAAATGAAATGATAGAATTATTAAACGTGTTAAAGGACAAAGGATAATATTCTATATATGTCTTTATACATACGAGGTCTGACAATTAAGTTTGCAAACTGACCGCCATGTGCTTACTTCACAGCACGGTACAACTAGCTTGGTAAGCTTTCATAACCTTGGCTTATCAGTGTCTCACAGTTGTGTTTGTGTTAACATGCAGTGATAGGAGCTGCATTCACTATGGTTGTGTGTATCTGTGCACTGTCACAAGAATGTCGGAGCTCGAATTACAGAAATATATAAACATTCATAAATTTCTTGTTAATCTTGACAAGAGTGGAGGTGTAGTCAGGAAAATCTTAGTCCAGGTTTATAGGGATATTGCCATGAAGAAAAGAGCAGGGTACAAAGAAATTAAATGTTTTTCTGAGGGGAGAGAAAGTGTCACCGATGAAGAGAGGTCAGGACGGCCAATAACAAGCAGAACTGATGAAAACATTGCAAAAATTCATCAAATAGTGCGTCAAAATCATTGGCTGACTATAGAAAGCACAGCAGACAAAGTAAACTTCCAAAGAAAAAGTGCTAGGAATATATTAACTGAAAACCTTGGCCAACAACTCATAGCTCTTGCACCATAGCAGTGCACCAGCCCACAGGACAGCGTCTGTGAGAGAGTTTTAAGCCGGTAAACAAATAACTGTATTGGAACATGCCCCCTACTGACTGGATCTGGTCCCCAATAACTTTTTTCCTTTACCTAGAGATAAAGGAAATGGTGAGAGGAAGACATTTTAATGATATTTAGGACATCAAGGATAATATGATGACAGTTTTAATAGTCATTCCAGAAAAAGAGTTCCAAAATTGGTGTGAAAGGTACTGGCATCAGTGCATAGCTTCCCAAGGGGAGTATTTTGAAAATGACCATAGTGATATTCAGCAAGGAAGTATGTAGTACTTTTCCTAGGATGAGTTAAAAAACTTAATTGTCAGACCTCGTATATGGGGTTGGGGGGCCCTGTATGTATTTTATAGGCAACGCCCCCTTTGCATGGTACTATGAGATTGTAAAATAACTGTATAACTGAATTCATGCTGTGGTAAGTGATCTTACCAATCAATGAAAAAAGAACTTTGCCAAAACATTAAAAATTAACATAGTTAGTTACAAATGCATTTAGGAAATGAAAAAGCACTAAGACTAATATTTATCTATAATATGGTAATTTAAAATACTGAGAATACTTTGTAAAAAACTTATCAAGCATAGTTTAAACAGTGTTTATTGCATAACTCCCTATACGGAATGTGTATGTTTTTTATGTTTTGCAAAATTCTCATACTTTAAGTATAGATCAGTGTCCAAAATATTGTCCTTTGTACTTTAATGTCATGATATACTTGTATGAGATTACATATAATGTGAGGCATTGTAGCACCACGTCCTCTGGGATACTTTCACTCTATCTCAGCCACTTTCCACACTCATGTTGATATGTGCACCTTCAATCAGTCCCTTTGTCTGCACATCTAGACTCTCTTGATGACAGCAGTGACAATACCCCATGATTGTCCATTTGTTCTATAAATTAATTTGTTTGATTCAAATTTGAATTCCAGCATTTTCACTTCATTTCTTTGTTGCACTTTGGGATCTGTTGGCTAGTTTCCCTTTCTGATCATGCACGTGTGTGAAATACTACATGGGCTCGTCACTGGGAGACAAGACATCCACACAGCTGTGGCCATCACTGACAATGCCAACCATGAAGCCACCAGTCACCAACAAATTCGGGAAGAAGTGCTGTGATTTGGTCATTAATTATAATGGTATCTGTTATTTATGAAATAATTTGGTGGCTTCAAAGCCAGCAGTAAAGTTTGTACCTCAAAGAATTACTCTCAGCGTGTATACAGCAACATGAATTGTGTTGTTAGGGGACGAGTGTGACTTAACTAACTGTGGTAACTAGAATTTGTGGAACTCTAAGCAATGAGAAGAGCTCTTACGTAAGAGAATATTTCTCATCTCTATCCCTCATCCCCACTCCGAATACCTGCACCCCATACTTTTTATTTTTTTTTTTTTTGCAGTTTTTGGCTGGAGCCGGGTTTGAACCCGCCACCTCCGCTATATGAAGCTGGCACCCTACTCCTTGAGCCACAGGCACTGCCCTACACCTAATACTTTTTAAAAAATGAGTGGTAGAAAGAAATGTTCAACTGCTGATCTGTGTCCTTGCCTCTGTCTCAGGAGTAGCTGCGAATTTAACCCTTGGTTAATCACGGATTGTATTCTGGACCAAAGACAAATGAGATGGAGGCAGAAAGTACAAATACGGTTATTAGAGGCTAGGGAGGGTAAGCGGCTTGGCAGGAGAGGCTGGTAGACAAATACAAAATTACAGCCAGATAAGAAACAGTGAGTTCTAGATTCTCTACCATTGTAGGGTGAATACAGTTCATAATAATTTGTCATATATGTTTAAAAAGCAAGAAGAGAGCCTTCTGAATATCTCAACACTGAGAAATGATGTTTGAGGTGATGTATATGCCAATTACCCTATTTGATCATTACACTTGTACACATACACATATTGAAGTATAGTTCTATAACCCCATAAATATGTAAAATTATTACATGTCAACAAAAACCAACAGAAAAAAACATTAAAAACAGTACCACCATCGGACCTAGGAAGCCCTATTCTGGGAAAATATCCAAAGGAAATGAATTCACCACCTCATAAAGACATCTGTACTCCTCTGCTCACATTGGCATTATTAACAACAGCCATGGCATGGAAGCCATTCATTAATGGACAAATGAATAAAAACCTGTAGTACATATATTAATACACAATAGAACACTAATGAGCTCTAAAAAAAAAGGAAAAAGATCCTGTCCTTTACCACAACACAGATGCATCTGGAGGACATTACACTAAGTGAAATTAGCCAGACATAGAAAGAAGAAAACTATTGCATTACTTCACTGACATGTAAAAAAGAAAACTCAAATATACAGAGATACAGAACCAAAGAGTGGTTACCAGAAGTGGGAGAATGGATCGGAAGTGGGGAGTTATAGGTCAGAGGATTCAAAGTAGCAGGAGGGTGGGGTAAACAAGTCCAGAGATCCAATGTACAACGTGAGGACTGAAGCTTGTAAAACCGTATAGTATTGGTGGTTCCTGCTAACTGAGTAGATTCTAGCTGCCTTTGCCACAAAAATAAACAAAAAGAGAACTGTACGAGATCATGGATATATTAACTTGCTTCACTATAGTAAACATTTTACGCCCTGTATATAACCCCAAACATCCTGGTGCATGCATTCACTACATACAATATTTATTTTACACAAAAGAAAGAAAGAAAGAAAGAAAGAAAGAAAGAAAGAAAGAAAG